CTTGCAGCTAGCACTCCAATATTATTGAGATGTCAGTTATCCCCAATTTGATCTACAGATTCAACAAAAAGAGAAACTAGACTAATTAAAATGGAATAATCAGAATGGAAATTGTGAGAATATTCATACATAATGAAGCATATAAAAAGTGTTGAATGGTAGCTTAAACTGCTGGGTAATCCTTCACCAAAAGCACAATAAAATACTGTTTACAAGAAAGAATGGAGGAGAATAAGATGTATGATGACCCAATACAAAATAATAACCTAGTTTGGATCCTAGAACAGAAAAATGATAGCGAAAAAAATTGTGGAATCTGAACAATATCTGTAGTGTGGGTAATAATAGTATTATACCCAAACACCAAAACTCACTGCCATCAAGCCAGTTCTGATTCATGGCAACACTATAGGACAGGGTAGAACCGCCCCTGTGGGTTTCCGAAACTATAACTCTTTACAGGAGTAGAAAGCCTCCTCTTTCTGCCTCAGAGTGACTGGTGACTTCAAACAGCTAACCTCATGATTAGTAGCCCAACTCGTAACCACTATGCAACTAGGACTCCTATAGTAGGATATTATACTAATGTTAATTGAAATGCCATGATTATATGTTAACACTGAAGGAAGCCGGGGGAAGGATATACTGGAACTCGTGCTGTCTTTACAGTCTTTGTTCAATCTAAAATTGGAGAAAAAAAGTTTGAAGAAACTCTTAGAAGATAAAGGTAGGACCTTATATCCCCTCCCTCAGCTTATTGGATAAACAAACTGAAGAGATTAAATTGCATGCACAAAGTTTTGACAAGTAAATGCAAGGGTTTTTTTGTCATTGAAACTAGCTACTTATCATTATCACAAGCTGTTAGTGAAGAAGAGGGGGAAAGAAGCAAAAAATGTTTAAATGGACAGCACAGAGGTAGTTTAAGACTGACTTAGTCTGTAGTTATACCTAGTGAGACCAAAGGGATGGGATTGCTAAGGTCTGGTAGGTGGTAAAAATCTCATTCTAAAGTAGCATAGCAGGAAGGAAGATTGAGAGTTTCTATGCA